TAGTCGTAGTAGTAGAATAGTTTAGTAGTAGTAGTAGTAGTAGTAGTAGTAGTCGTGTAGTAGTGGTAGAGTCGTAGTCGTAGTAGTAGTAGTAGTAGTCGTAGTCGTAGTAGTAGTATAGTCAGTAGTAGTAGCTATGTAGTAGTAGTAGGCTGGTAGTGAGTAAGTAGCATAGTAGTATCAGTAGTGCAGCAGCAGCATGTAGTAGTAGTAGTAGTAGTAGTAGCAGTCGTAGCAGTAGTAGCAGTAGTAGCAGTAGTAGCAGTAGTAGATGTAGTAGCAGTAGTAGCAGAAGTAAGCGTCGCGGTCATCAGAACTAGGTGGGCTGTAGTACCACAAGTCGACATGGCAGTCGATCGCGAGATCCGTGGCAGCATGAGGAAGTGGACGAGAAGGAGCAGCAGTAGTAATATTGATCGTGTGGCGGTGACGTGATCGCGATGATATCGAGTTTCCAGCAGGTTTGCGAGCTGTGGCCGCACAGCGCCAATCAATGCGGATGAAGAGGGACCGCGCGGGCCGATGTGACGTGAAAGCAACTTGTCAAAAATGAGATAAGTGGGGAAACCCAGCCTAATTATCCGGGTAGTCCTGGGCGGCACGTGAAGCTTGATTTAAATAATAGATCGGACCGGACTTTTGCTTTAGCGGTGAAAGGAGGTTATGGGAAGTTTGGGGCCGCGGTAACAGAGTGCAGTTCGGTCTGGGAAGGAAGGTTTTCGCGTTTGGTGTGTATGTTGTGTGTGTCTAAAGTGTGGCCAGAGCGGCGCGAGGAGTGGGCCGCGGCGTCATCCTCTCCATGATCCAGGAACGGCAGCCTGGATGCTTCCCCCCTCCTCACCGACGGGCCCGGCCCGCTGTCAAGGTGGTGTTTCTTTTTTTTTTCGCTCCTCGACCACCTCCACTTCCTCTTTCACTCTCTTTGCTTGTGTTCTCTTTTTTTTTTGTCTCTCTCTCTCTCTCTTTCTCTCTCTCTCTCTCGCTCGCTCGCTGGTTATGACAATTTCTTTACATCTCTCTCTCTCTCTGTCTTGTTTGTTGTTTCTGTCTCTCTTTCTACTTCTCTCTTTCTCTCTTTCTCTCTCTCTCTCTCTTTTCCCCCCCCCTCTCTCTCTCGTTCTCGTTCTCTCTTGCTCTCTCTCTCTCTATATATCCTTTCTCTCGCTCTCTCTCTCTCTCTCTCTGTCTCTCTCGCTTTCTACCCTTCTCTTTCTCTCTATCACGATATTCATCTCTCTGTTGCGCTCTCTCTCTTTCTCTCTCTGTCTCTCTCTCTCTCTGTTTCTCTCTCTCTCTCTCTATACTTGTTCTCTCTGTCTATTTCTGGCTCTTTCTCTCTCTCTCTCTCTCTATATATATATATATATATATATATACATATATATACATACATATACATATATATATATATATATATATACAGATCATTTCTCTGTTCTATCTCTCTCTCTCTCTCTTTCTCCCCCCTCTCTCTCTGTTTAGTCGTAGACGTGAATCGCCCTCGGCCCCTCCACGCCCGCTAGGTTTCAGCCTTGCTTCCGCTACCGCGGTGGCTCAAGTCCGAGAGGCCCCCGGCTCGGCTGGCCTGGATGAAATGCGGGCCGCCCTCGCTGTGGGCGACGCTGGTGACCGCCTGGGGCGCGACTCTGGGCGCTTGCTGGTCTTGGGGCTGGACTCAGGCCCCCGCGGCTCTGTTCCTGGTGCCGCCCTCCTTCTCCGGCTGCGGCGCGGGGGAGGCCTGCCACTGTTCCCGCCACCAGGAGCTGCGGCGCATCATCGACCTCCAGGCGGAGGTCTGGGCGCTGCGGTGCCTGCTGCTCGCCGGGCTGCTGGTGCTCGGCCTCGCGACGCCGACGGCGGGCGCCCTGGGTTTCTCGCGGGGGTTTGCAGGCGCTGCCGGTGCGGCTCGCGCGAGCGCGCGGCTGGAGGATGCTCCCCTGGCACGGCGGCAGGCAGATCGCACCAAGACGCCTCTGACGGCGGTGACGGCCGGCGTCGGCCCGCGTATCCCCAGCCGACGCCATGGCTGACGTGCACACCTTGGACATCGCGGATCCCCAGATCCTCGTGCGGTATGAGAACGACACGCACGGCTTCGACTGGCACCATCGCGTAATGCTTTTCAGCGTGAGCGAGGATATCTGGATCTGCCTCACCCCAGATCACGATCTGGTTCGGGTCAAGCTGCTGGACACGCGCCACGAGGTGCTCGAGCGTCGAGCGCCCTTCCCAGCCCATCTGGCGAACCAGGTCTACGCCCACGACCCGATCGGAGGCGCGGCCCTGTCAGCTTTCCGGCGTCGAGCGAAGCTGCAGGGCCAGCTCTTGGGCGTCGGCCAGGTGGAGGCCATCGAGCGGATGATCTGGGTTGTGGCCGAGGCCCTGTCCAACCGCTTCGGGGAGGTCATGGATTCGGCGATCATGGACGACGACAACCGCGGCATGGGCTTCGACCAGAAGGGCGTGGCGGTGCTGGATGGCGAGGAGTTCTTCGTGCAGAAGATCGCGGCCAGCAGCCTGTCTGACTACGAGCGCGAGGCGCGCGCGGACATCGGCGACCTGCGGACCCTGGGAGACCACCAGGATGAGGCGGGCCAGAAGTGTCTTCGGCTTTCGGAGGCAGTCGCGATGATGCGCGACGTGGAGCAGCCCAACTTCCCCTTCGCAGGCGTCAGGAGCGTGAAGAAGTTCCTGGACAGCGTGGCCTCGGGACTGGGGAACATGAGTTCCTACCAGGCCGAGTGGGAGCGCCCCGGCGGCGATGGCGAGGGCTCGGCGGTGAACCACGTGCACTGGAACCTGTGTGAGGTACTTCGCCTCATGCACTCGTGGGATCAGGTCGACTTGTCGACGTTGGCCTCCGCCGAGCTCCTGGTGCGCTGGATGATGCAGACGGAGTTCGCTGTCGAGCGCAACCCGCGCCACCCCGACTACAGCGGCCTGGGCATCGTGGTCTCAGCTCCCGTCGACGCAGTTGGACGGGCGTCAACGTCGAGGTTCAATACCCGGGTCATTGACCGCCTCAAGAAGGCGACGATCTGGAAGCAGGAGCGCACGCACAGGGAGGAGCAGAAGCAGACGCGCAAGGGCGACGGCAAGGGGCAGGGCGACGGGTTCGAGTCCAACCCGAAGCGGCGCCCCAAGAAGGCGAAGGGAGGAGCGGCCGGCGCTGGCGGCGGCGCCGGCGAGGAGGGATGGCGCCTCTCGGGGCTGCAGGGGCACCGGCGCTGGCAGCCCGGACGCCGAGCGAGCCCCTGCGCAGCCGACTCCCACGTGGGCGCGCCGCCTCCGGCGTCGGAGGCATCGGGTCACGCGGTCGACGGCACGGCGATCCTTTCCCGCTGCCGCGCGACCCCGTCGGCCTAGGCATTGCGTGCGATCCTGCGCGGCATCAGCAAGTGTTTGACACGGTTTGGGCCCTGACCAGCTTGCTGCCGCCAACTTTAGTTCGCGTCGTGCTCGGGGGCGCGATCGACCACCTGAGGGCCACCTCCAGCCTGCCGCTGCGCAGCGCTGGATGCTCCAGAACGTGGCGCGGCGGGCTGAGGCATATGGGGCGTGCCCGACTGACCTCGCAGAGGAGTCGCCCTTCGCGGAGATCTTCGACTCTAGAGACCACTACGGCATGGGGCCCAAGAATTTGGCCACTTTCGACTTCGACAAGGTCAAGATCCTGCACCGGCGAGATCACGTTCGGCCCGTTCGACGCGAACTCCCCCCCGCAGCGCTCGGCAACCTCAGGCGCGCGGGGGGCCCGATCGAGAAGGACGAAACGGAGCTTGAGAAGAAACGAGCTGAGGGCGACGGTTTCTCGCCCAATTCAATTGGGCGAGAAACCGTCGCCCAATTCAAGCGGGCGAGAAACCGAAGGGCAGGGTCCCAATTGAATTGGGACCCTGCCCTTCGGCGCTCGCGAAACCTTCGGAAGCGGCTGCTGTGCCAGCGTTTGAGCCAGCGGGGCCTGCTGACCTGGCGCCGGCTGCAGGAGGGGCGCGCGGGCATCTTCGCGGTCAAGAAGAAGGATGGGATCCAGAGATTCATCACTGACACCCGAGCGGCGAACAGGGCACACCGACTGCCATTTACTTTCGGTTGGGTTCATCACGCTGCGTGGCAGACCTGGACCTCTCGGACCCCCGCTCAAGGGCCCCCGGCTTCGGAGGACTGAGCTCGGGGCGCCCAGCCAGCCCGACGGGGCTAGAGGGCGACGTCGGGGGCTGCTTCTACAACTTCACTTCACGATCCCCGGGTTGGCCTCCTGGTTCGGCTTCGAGGCCCGCTTCGACACGGAGGAGTTGGAGAGCATGGGCTGCCGGCCTGCGACCATCTGGGGCGACGCCGAGGGGGCGGAGACCACGGTCGCGGATGGCGAGACGTTGCACCCCTGCACGGCGGCGGCGTGCACGGGCTAGCCCTGGGCGCTCTACTTCGCCAACGAGTCCGTCACCCATCGGGTGGAGAGGACACTCGGCGACGGCCCGGGCCAGGTCATGAGGGGGATGCAGCCCGCCCCCGCCCTGGGGCCAGGCAAGTGCGTGGCTGGCGTGCGCGGTGACACCGTGCAGGTGATCGGGGGCTGTCAGGCTAACGCTACCAGGCAGATGGGCAAGATTGAGAACAGCTTTGATGATGATGATATTCCTTTTGACATCGAGTCGAACGACGGAGTTGGGATGCAGTCGCTTGGCTTGGTGTACCACTGGCGAGAGCGACGACTACGACATGTCGCTCGGCGAGTCTGGCGGACCGACCTGGCGGGGCACGCTCTACTGCGTCGACGCAAGCTGCGCGGACATTCTCTTCAGTGTTGGCTCGGGCACGTCGCGAACCTGAATCAGCTCTGTCCCGAGGCCATGTCCACCTTGAGCGCCTGCTACCGCTTCATCGACGAGGCGCTGGAGAAGCCGAAGCGGACGTGGCCCTCCGCGAAGTCAGAGATCCGCTGCGCGATGAGCCTTCTCTGTTGATGGAGGCCAACCTCAGCGCCAAGTACTCGGGCCAGGTCTACTGCAGAGACTCCTCGACTCGCGGCTGCGCCCTGCACGTGACGAAGGGGGGGCCTGATCAGAGGAGATCCGCAAGGCGTGGAGGTGGCGAGAGCGCCGGCGGTGCCCGGGCGTGCCGCTGATCGAGGGCCAGGCGCGCGAGGGGCTCGACTGCGTGCGGGGCGACGCGCCGGGCTCGGCCGCCGGGCCGCTGACCGCCCTCGGCCAGGCCCTTCGGGGCCAGGCGGAGGCGCGCTCCAGGCCGCGCCGCCGGGCCGCGGCGGACAAGGCGACCCGGGCCCAGGTGGCCCTAGACTCGGGGATCCCCGCGCTGGCTGACGGCTGGACTCATCGGCGTCGCTGCCATTTGGTGGCGGCCGAACGCTGGCGCTGGCAGAACGAGCACGTCAACCTGAAGGAGGCGCGCGTGGCCCTGATGGGGCTGCGGAGGCACTGCCGATCCGTCAAGCTGCTGGGCTCGAAACTGCTGACGCTGAGCGACAGCCAAGTCACCGTGGGGGCCTTCGAGAAGGGCCGCTCTAGCGCTGGTCTACAGGCGCTGTGCAGACGGGCAGCGGCCCACCGACTTGGCGGGCAGATCTCGCGGCGCCTCCGCTACATCGAGACGGATCGGAACCCGAGTGACCTCGACTCGCGTCGGTGGGGCGACAAGCGACCTAAGGTCGCGCCTGCCTCAGCTCCAGCGGCGGCAGTTGCACGCCGCGCTGGCCGCGCGGCTGCCGAGGGGCCCGCCCGCGCACTCACGGACTCCTTTCTCGAGGATGAGCTGACAGAGCCCCCTCCTTCACCGTCATCTTCGTTGCCGACATCTGCTCCGCGTATCTCTCGCCCTACAATTCGGGATTTAGTTTTTTGCATGGGGCCCTTCGGGGGCCAGGGGTTGCTGACGCGAGCCTGCAGAGGCGTGGGGCTTCTTTGTGTTGATTCAGTGGATATCCAAGATGGATGCGAGTTTGACTTGTCTCAACATGCAACACACCAATATATATATATATATATATATATATATACAATAAATATATTATAAATATATATATTATATGATCATTGATTGGCCCGCAGAGGCCGCCTACAGCATGTGCATCTCGGGGCGCCTTATCAGGTCTGAAGTATCGCACGTAGGGGTATCCAAAACCATGCGCGAGCACGAGCTAGGGAACGTCTCGGGATCGAGTTCGCTCTGTTTACGACAACGTTGTACCACATGCTTTCGCGGCGCGGGGCGTATTGGACCGTGGAGAACCCCGGGACATCGAAACTATGGAACTTCGACCCCATTGCTCGTCTTCGTGGTATCCCGAACGTGACGGAGGTACACTTCGATATGAGTATGCATGGAACAGCTCATCGAAAGCCGACTCGGATTCTGACAAACCTTGGGGCCTTGAGAGCCCTCGGAGACCGACCCCGCATTCCACACAAGCACGCCATCATGTTACATGGTCATCTTACACCTTGCTGTTGCCTATCCCTCGGCTCTGGTTTCGAGCTGGGCGGGCCTCCTGAAGGCCGCGCTCCCTCGGGCGGGCAGCCCGAGCGCGCCGGGGTTTGACCCGCGCGAGTTCCGCCATGGGCTCCTCCGAGCGGCCGGCCGCGAGCCGCAGGCTGGAGGGCGGGCGCTGCGCAACCGCATCAGCAAGCGCCGCCCCTGCTTGACTGTCAGGCGGCTGACGCCTTCCTCGACGGGAACCCCCTCGTCCAGTTCGGCCAGGGCGACCGTCCGCGACGATGGCGGGCCCACCAGGACTGGCAGACAGCGGCCGCCGGGGAGGGACCGCCCGCGCCAGCCGTCAGCTCCGCGCCGAGTGGGGCCCATCCGAGCCCCGCGGCGCGACTCGCTGGTCATGGCGACGGTCTCGAACGGGAACCTCAAGAGGTACGCGGCGGCCGTGCACGAGTTCGAGGTCTACGCCGAGTCGAAGAAGCTCGACTTGCAGCCGCTCAGTCGCCTGGACAACGCCTTGGCCCAGTACTTCGTGGACATGTTCGACGACGGCTTCGGGGCCTGGGAAAGCCGCAACACATTTTGCGGCCGCAGACTTCTGCGGCTCAAGACGACGGGCAAGGTGGACGTGCCGAAGGCGGTGGCCTCGCTACAGGGCTGGATGAGACGCTCGCCAGGCCGCGTGCGCCTGCCCTTGCCCGACATCGTCGTCGACGACATAGCGGTGGACCTGATCGAGCACGGCCGGCCGATGATGGCCGCCGCGGTGTCGCTGCAGACGGACGCGTACACCCGACCTTCAGAGGTGGTCGAGTTCCGCCAGGGTCAGATCCTGCCGCCCGCGCCAGCCGCGAAGCTCGGCGCGCACTTTGGCATCGTCATCGCGCCCTCGGAGTGGCGCGAGGTAACCAAGACGGGAGGTCAGGACGACAGCCTCCTGGTCGGCGACGTGGCTCGCCCCTGGCGTCCTGCGGATCCTTTACCAGCCCAAGGCCGCCGACCCCCAAAAGCTCTTCGCCTTCATTTTGCCAGAGTACGAGCGGGAGATCAAAAAGGCCGCCGACCGCCTGGGCTACTCGCCCCTAGGAGTGCGCCTTCAAGTTTTTCGCCACTCAGGGGCCCCCAACGACAAAGCGCACGGAAGACGGACCTTGAAGGAGGTCCAGAAGCGCGGCCGATGGGCATCGTCCTCCTCAGTGGCCCGCTACGAGAAGGGCGCGCTCATTCTCCAGCAGCTGCGCGAAGTGACGCTGGAGGAGCAGAAACGCGCGGCCCGCAGGAGCAAGCAGTTGCCTGAGTTCCTGCTCGACAGACTTCGTAGCCCTCGGACCACCAGCACATGGAACGGGTACGGGCTCAGAAGCGATCAAAGGAGCTTCGTGTGATGACATCGTTTGCCATTGGCCAGAGCAGTACTTCTCTGGACAACTTCTGTCAGAGGTGATTGTAAGACAAATTGGCCATTCATATCCGCTAGGTTTTCAGCCTGGCTTCCGCTACCGCGGTGGCTCAAGTCCACCCGCCCACAGGCACCCTCGAGCTTCAGTTGCAGTGCTCGCAATTTGATCGATCCCGTTGGGCTCAGAAGCGATCAAAGGATTACGCTTCGTGTGATGACATCGTTTGCCACTGGCCAGAGCAGTACTTGTCTGGACAACTTCTGTCAGAGGCGATTGTAAGAGTAAGACAACGTGGCCATTCATATCCACCAGCTTCGCTGAGATATGCACGTCCGGGCGTGGTTATCAGGCCGTCTAGGGGTGTATATACCCCTCTTTCTCTCTGTGTGTGTGTCTCTCTCTCTCTCTCTCGTTGTCGGTTTCCCCCTCTCTCTCGATCCCCCGTCTCTCTATAATATATATATGGGTGCTTGCGTGTACATACATATAGATACGTCTATATACAGATATGTTCCTCTCCCTCTCTCGCCCCCTTAAGTGTTCCTCTCTCGCCCAAACGTTTCTCGTCGCATGTCTTCGCTACCTCCTCTCCGCTCTCCCTCGTCATTCTCCTCCTCGTGTTTTTCCCTTCCCCTTCCCCCTCCTGATTTGATTCGTAATCCTCCTCACCTTGTGACCTAATTTGCAATACCTGCAACAGCTACGGGGACGGGTGGATTTTTTTTTCGGCTTTATTGCCTGAAGATGCACTTGCGCAAAAACGTAAATTGAAGTGGAACGATCCCTTTTCAACATGGGGCCCCCGCTGAATGTTTTTGTGAACCGAGTGATGACGATGATGGTGATGGTGATTAGGGGTATAATGATTATGATGACGATTGTCATCGGATGTGTCATCGCTCGAAGGATGGCTCAATGTCAAAACAAGGCTCACATCCGAATAGCCAGGCGGCACGCCCCTTTCGCGCTGGTCTTTCAAAGGGGCGCAACCTTCAGTCGCAGGGAATGCTACGGAATGCCTGCAGGGACTTTGAGGGGGGTCTTGGGACGGAAGGGCGTCTTCCAGGATATTTCGCGCATCTTGGGCTGTTCTGGTCTTCTCCCTCCTATTCCTCCTCGTCTCCGTCGTCGTATGTAGTCCTTGTCCGTTTCCTCTTCCAGATACCTCTTTCTCGTCCTCGTCTTCCTCTTCCTCGTCGTCGTCCTCCTCCCTCCTTCTCGTCCTCATCGTACTGCTTATTTCCTCCTCCGCCTCCTCCTCCTTGACCTCCTCGTCGACGTCGTCCTCCTCCTCCTTCTCCCCTCCTGCTCCTTCTCCCGTGCGTTCAAAACTTTGACTACGCGTGGAAATTGCAGGGCATGGGGCGCCGCGCCCTTGCACTGACCGTTGGGAGCCCAAATGGAAGCGGGGGGGGAGGAGGACGATGAGCAGGTGGGGGATGGGCAGCCTTCCGAGGAGGGCAAAATCGCCGGGCGGGCGATCCTCATCGCCGGCCAGCCGGGGTCCGGCAAGACCGCGATCGCCATGGGCATGGCGAAGGCCCTTGGAGAGGACGCGCCGTTGGCTTCTGGGTTCGGGTATCTTCTCTTTTCTTTACCCCACCAGTCCATCTGTTCGCCTCGCGTTCACCACGCCAAAGCGGGTGTTGGCAGCGACCCCCCATCTCTCAAGAAGTGAGGACACGCCGTTCACGTGCCTCGCGGGGTCGGAGATCTTCTCTTTGGAGATGAGCAAGACGGAGGCCTTGACGCAGGCGTTCAGGCGGTCGATAGGACTGGTGACCCCGATCCCGCGTGCCGTCGCTGCTTTTTTCGTCGACCGGACGTCGCGCAATCCTCCGAAACACGGGCCTTGCGTTTGTGCACCCATCTCGCATCCCGACTTTTGCTGTTCATGGTCGTTCCTGGCTCAAGGTACGACTGACGTGTGTGTGTGTGTGTGTGTTTATATTCCTCTTCCTATATTTTTACAAGCCCGGGCGGCCGCAAAACCCCGCACCCCCCCCCCCCCCCCAAACCGGACTCCAGGGATCCTGGGGCTTTGGGACCCTCCGGACGCCCATTGAAGCGGTCCCGAGTGCCTCAAGAGCGCTCCAAGACAGGCACAAAGCGCTCCAAGACGCCAAAGATAGCCCCAAGACAGCCTCAGGAGCCCCCAAGACGCCCCAAGCGGCCCCAAAGAAGCCTCCCAAGACGGCCCCGGGAGGCCGAAATGGTCAATTTTCCAATGTGTTTTTCGATGTTTTCTGCTTTCTCGCCATTTTAGCTTTCCGACGCTCCAAGACAGAACTAGAGGCCCTCAAGAGCGCCCCAAGATGGCCCGGGGGGCCCCCAAAACGGCCCCAACACGGCCCCAAGACGGCTCTGGAGCGCCCCGAAACAGCCCAAGAGGCGCCCAAGAAGGCCCAAGAGGGCCCCGAGAAAGCTTCAAACGAGCCCCCACAGGGCGATCAAAAGTTCAAACATCTAACTTTCCGCCCCAAGTGGGCCCCAGGAGGCCCCAGGAGGGCCCCAAGAGGCCCCAAGAGGCTTCCAAAGGCCCCGAGGACTCCCAAAAAGAACCCACGAGGCCCCAAAATGGCTCTCCAAAAGGCAGCCAAAACGGCCCCCCAAGAGGCTTCAAAACTGCTCAATCGCCCCACTTGACCGCCACCTCCGGAACGGCTTCGCTGCGCTGCTCCGTTGTTTGCCAGACAGTGGCATCCCACGCAAAACACCAAAATGCTTGAAATCCCGGGTTCGCAACCAAATTCCCGGGAAATCGGCTGCGAACCCGGGATTCGGCACATTTCCCCGGAATTCGGTAGATGTCCTGAGCATTTCCAGGATCCGGTACGTTGCCTGCATGCTTGCTGCCCTATGCCCTATCGCATCCCAGAATAATCGTTCCATGGAGGTTTCACGAGGGCCCTTCCAAGTTATTAAGGAAACATTGTTTTCCACACGTGTTCGCACACATGCATCCGTAGCCGTTGGCTTACATTTTTAAGCTGTCGCATACGGCACATCCTCGATGTCTGTATTCGCTTGCTCCGATTGTGGCGAGACCCTGCCTGCAGAATCATTCTCCACAACACAACTTCAGCAGTCCAATCGGGCTTGCAAGTCGTGTGCCAGTCGACGGGAAACACAGTCACGGTCAGCCCCCCAACACAAAGACTATCAATGCACTCGTTGCGGGGACATGCACGATCGAACTCACTTCAGCCCTTGCCAGCTGCACCGATCCACTCGGACGTGCAAGGCGTGCGCCACTGACGGCCGTCCGAAGCAAGACCTCTTCTCCTGCACGCGCTGCGGAGAGCTCTGGGACAGGACCCACTTCGACGCGAGGCACCTCAAAGCACGCAGCACTACGCGGGTTTGCAATTCCTGCAATGCGTGCCTTACCTTACCTTACCTCATGATATTCCTCCCTTCGCCGCGCCTCCCCAAATCGTCCTCCACTTCTTTCCCGCCCCTTCTGTCCGACGTTTTGTTTTTCCGGAGCCTCCACGGCCGCTCTCATCGCCGCTGATCGGTCCGCTGGGACATTCTCATGGAGTCCCAGTGGCGCGCGGACCAGCAGAGCGAGGGCGCGAGCAAGTAAGGTGCAGGTCCGGGAACTGGGCGCGAACCGGCCGCGGTTCAAAGACCGTGGAGGGCCGCGCTAGACGCCAACGCGCGCAAGGGTTGAAGGACCAAGGTGCATGGCGCGAAGCGCCAATGCAGTCTTGTATATATGTATATATACACGTACATATGTATATGCGTATTCCCCGACAACCCTGCCAGTATTCCCCGCGTCGAACCTTTCAAATGATACCATGATTTGCGCACGCGCGCATGCCCGCACGCGCAAGGCCCGATCTGTCAAACCATGGACGGTTGAAACATTTCCAGGAGGGGATCTTTCCAAGCACACATCGATTCCAAGCATTTTCAATTGATCATATGTTCGAATCTCTTCCGACAGCATCATCAGTTGCCCGCCCGTGTCATGGATTTTTATAAGAAGGGTCCGCGCGCCATCGCGCCGGCTAGGATTTGTTGACAGGCTCCGGTAGGAAACGGCACGGCCTCGCGAGTATCGCCAGAAGTTGCGGGCGGGGGGGGTGGCGCTGGCGGTTTCAGGTTGTCCCAGCTATCATGATTCCGTGGGTTGCTCCGCACATGTTTCCCGTCGCAGCTTGCGCCGCATAGCATGTACTACATAGACCGCGCCATGCAGGCTGCAAAACGTGATTCAAATCCCACTATACTTGCCGGGTGCTAAAGTTTTTTTTACCATCGGTGGAGAATTGCCTCGCTGGTGCCGCGTGCCGCCGACGACGGAGGAGGAAACAGACATGCCCCGATGCGGGCCCCCAAACTTCTTTGAGCTCTCTGAGATCGGATGACCAACCAGTGAAGCAGGAGCAACCGCGTTGGATAAGGATGCCAAGCGCCACGCTGCATTATTCTACGGGGGGATGGGGGGGGTAGGAAGGCTGACGTCTTATGGTCAAAACTGTAGTACCCCCGTGTATGAATACATGTATTTCGCCCCGCGTGAAGTGCACAGTGTGAGGGTGCAATAACCAACGATTTGGGACCTACGCCGGCAAGTCCCATCTGTGCGAAAGCATAAGAGGCTGATGGGGACGACCTCGGTCTTTTCAAACTGATGCGTCGAGGCCAGCTATCGTGTTTTTCCCAGCCATCCTGTGGTGTTGGGTCCTCGTTTTGAATTAACGACGCCCGCGTTCTCCTCCTCTTCCTCCTCCTCCCCCTCCCACCTCCTCCAGCGCCATCATCATCATCACCCGTTTCAGCGCACCCCTCACACGTTTCGCGGCCCCATAGGGAGCCCCACCGAAGGTCCCAATGCTACCGTCCGCATGCGTCCCGCACACCCAGTACAGCGTTTCGTGGCCCCATAGGGAGCTCCACCGAAAACCCCCAGTGCTACCGTCTGCATGCGTCTCGCACACCCATTGCAGCGTTTCGTGGCCCTCCTCCCCCTCCTCCCTGCGTTTCACCCACCCAGTACAGCGTTTCGTGGCCCCATAGGGAGCCCCACCGAAGGTCCCAGTGCTACCGTCCGCATGCGCCCCGCACGCCCAGTGCAGCGTTTCGTGGCCCCACAGGGAGCCCCACCGAAGGTCCAAGTGCAAGCGTCCGCATGCGTCCCGCACGCCCAGTACAGCGCTTCGTGGCCCCATAAGGAGTTCCACCGAAGGTCCCAGTGCTACCGTCCGCATGCGTTACGCACACCCAGTAGATCGTTTCGTGGCCCTCCTCCCCCTCCCCCCTGCGTTTCACCCACCCAGTACAGCGCTTCGTGGCCTTATAGGGAGCCCCACCGAAGGTCCCAGTGCTACCGTCCGCATGCGTCCCGCACACCCAGTACAGCGTTTTGTGGTTCCATAGGGAGCCCCACCGAAGGTCCCAGCGCTACCGTCCGCATGCGTCCCGCACAGACAGTGCAGCGTTTCGTGGCCCTCCTCCCCCTCCTCCCTGCGTTTCTCCCACCCAGTACGGCGCTTCGTGGCCCCATAGGGAGCTCCACCGAAGGCCCCAGTGCCCCCGTCCGCATGCGTCCCGGAAGCCCACTTTGGCATTTTCACACGCCCAGTGCAGCGTTTCGTGGCCCCATAAGGGGGCTCCCTAAGGCCCTAGTGCCACCGTCCGCATGCGTCCGGGAAATGTAATTTGGCATTTTCGCCCGCGCATTGCAGCGTTTCGTGGCCCCATAGGGGGCTCAACCGAAGCCCCCAGTGGGACCGTCCGCATGCGCCCTGGTAGCCCAGTTTATCCCAGTACGGCATTTTCATTCAGTCAGTAGAGCGCTTCGTGGCCCCATAGGGAGCTCCACCGAAGCCCTCAGTGGGACCGTCCGCATGCGTCCCGGAAGACCAATTCGGCACACCTCCCACACAGTACAGCGGTCCCCCCCGCCCAGTGCAGCGCTTCGTGGCCCCATAGGGAGCTTCACCGAAGCAGATTTTCACAAATTACGGTACCCACAAGTGCATATGGTTGGGACCTTCGCCAGGATAATTCTCCATTGTTCCCCGTAGCTTCACCGCCGCAGCACGAGTAGGCACACCAGCGCCTGAACGCGATGTGGCATCGGCTTTGGGGTTGGCGATTCGGCCGAGGGCGTGCTGAGGGGTGGCACGTAATGTGCAACCTCCCTTACCCTTCTCCGCGGCGACAACTTCACGTAGTGGGCTAAGAGAGCAGTTTTCCGAATCGGGTGGGGCGGGGTGTCGGCTCAGGCCTGAGCTCTGTCCCAACTCCTTCCCCCCGGCTGTTCGCCTCTGGCTTCTCGTCTGGCGGGGTTCTGGGCGGTGTGCGCGTTTGCGTGCACGTCCCTCCTCCTGACTCCTGCTGTTAATTGCCGTCTTTGGCTTAATGTGCATCGGGCGCAGGATCTTGCCCGTCACGCCAGGGGGGGGAGGGGGGAATACCATCGATCACGTTCTACGGATCACGGGGGGTCAGGCTCCTTGCCCCAAGTTCCCTTTCCTGCGCACAGGCCCGCCGAGATCGAGGGACTGCCCTACCGGCGTGGACACCGCAGATCTGGCACGGATCTTTCGGCCTGGGGATGCAGATCGCATGCTTCAGGCATGGATCTGAGCTCGAGGACGCAGATCGCATTGATATGGCAGGCGATTTGGTATGGATCTTCCGGTTCATGGGCGCAGATTCCCTGGCCCCGTCAGTCGTGTTTTGGGTCTCTGGGCGGACATGCGGAAGCGTAGGGGGAGGGCGGGATGGGGAAGGAGGACAGGGACAGAGGAGGGGGAGGGAGGGAGGTAGGGAAGGGAGGGAGGGAGGAGGGAAGTGGTCAAAAAGACCGGTGTCGGGCAATAGACTTCCATGGTGGAGGTCGACCTCCATGTTTGGTTGTGGGGGGAGCTGGGTAGAACTGAAGGGCTAGGAGGCATGCTGGCGACTCTGGTATAATGCCTGCCCACAGGAATTCGGATCCGGGAGGAGGCGGAGCTCATTGAGGGTGAGGTGGTGGAGATCGAGATCGAGCGCCCGGCAAACGGGCAGGCCGCGACATTTGGCAAGATGACTTTGAAGACGACCGAAATGGAGACCATGTACGATTTGGGTCAGAAGATGATCGAGACAATACAGAAAGAGGGTATTCAGGCTGGAGACATCATCACGATTGACAAGTCCTCTGGAAAAATATCACTACTCGGCCGATCCTTCTCTCGCTCTCGTGACTACGACGCGATGGGGCCTCAAACGCGATTCGTGCAGTGTCCCGAGGGAGAGCTTCAGAAGCGGAAGGAGGTCGTGCACACGGTGAATCTGCACGAGATTGATGTCATCAATAGTCGGCAGCAGGGCTTCCTCGCTCTGTTTGCTGGGGACACCGGTGAGATCAAAGGCGAGGTCCGAGAGCAGATCGATGCGAAGGTTGCAGAGTGGCGCGAAGAAGGCAAGGCAGACATCGTGCCAGGAGTTCTCTTCATCGACGAGGTGCACATGCTCGACATTGAGTGCTTCTCATTTCTGAATAGGGCCCTCGAGGCGGAGACGTCTCCCATTGTCATCATGGCCACCAACCGAGGCATCACCAACATCCGTGGTACTGACTACAAAAGTCCTCATGGCATTCCACTTGATCTGCTTGACCGTATGCTCATAATTTCTACACAACCGTATTCGCAGCGCGAAATCCGCAAGATTCTTGATATCCGCGCGGAGGAGGAAGACGTGGAGATGACGGATGAGGCCAAGGAGTTGCTCACGAAGATTGGGGTGGAGAGCACATTGCGGTACGCGATCCACCTGATCACCGTCGCAAATTTGGTGGCCATGAAGAGGAAGGCGCAGGAGGTGGACGTGCAGGACATCCGTAAGGTCTACACCCTGTTCGTTGACGTAAAGCGGAGTGCCCAATTTTTGTTGGAGTACCAGCAGGAGTTCATGTTTTCCGAGGCACATGGAGGGCTCAAGTTTTCCTTCCAAACCGACCCTTGTAGTTAGGTAACCCTGCACAGTCCTCTCTGTCCACATTGGGCGTTCCAGAATAGGCCCTTTCCCGAGGGAGCACGAGGTTGGCATCTCGCACTCGGCGGAAGCTGGCGCAAGTGAAACATTAGTGTGTGCGACGGCGGAAGGCGGTGGAGATCAGAATTGACCGCCGAAGAGAGCTCACAGCGGAGGTACCCAGAGAGTTTCCGTTGTGGCCCCGCCCGAGAGGTGCAAGCGGACGAGGAGGAAGCGAAGGACGGCGATGCCCCCATGCCGCAGGCTAAGTAGAGACCAACACGCGCTGCACACGAACTTGCCGCCTTTCGTGCCGCTGCTGTGACGTGCACTCGCCGCCTGGGGGCCTGCAACGGAGCCTTGGTAGTTTCCATTCTCTTCCTTGAACCTTCCAAGCCAGTAGCGCTGCCGCGCATATCCGCCACCGCATTGGGTGGAGAGCGGGGTGGTGTGGGGCTCTGGGAGGACGGGTCGATTCATAGGAGATGATGTGACGAAGCGGGGACTCGGCCCTTTACCTCAGTTAGCTCTCTCCTCTCGGTCTCTGCGCCGCGGGAGGGCGCGATCCGAGTAAGGGGGTGTGCCGAAATGGGAGGAGGCCCGAATGTAAGATCCCTCACTAGGACCGCACTCCCAATGAGGCACAGAGGTCGGGGCCACGGTCCGCGTGAGGGATGTGCCGAAATCGACGGAGGCCCGCATGAGGATTCTCCCCACTGGAGTCGTAGGTGGTGCTCTCTACGGGGCCACGGTCCGTGTGAGGAGTGTGCCGAAATGGGCGTAAGTCCGAATGCAAACACGCCCGCTGGGGCCGCTCCCTACGGAGCCCCGGCCGTGTGAGGAGTGCCCTGACATGGGCATGGGCCCGAATGCAAACATGCCCACTGGAGTAGCAGGTGTGGCTCCCTGTCGGGTGGGCAACTCAACTAACTTTGGATTTAGCTCTTGCATGGAACTCATGCACTCAAACGGGAAAGTATCTGAGCAATTCGCAGGCAATCCGGAACCACTCGCAGCAGTCCCCACAACAAAAGCAGTCCGCCTTGCGAACCAGCCGTTCCACCTCTCGAGGTCTTGGAAGCAGAAAACAGTGTACCCAGTCCGAGCGTCTTCCGTTTCCGAACTAGAACGGAGGGTGCCGCCGCCTCTGACCGACCCCCGTCCCTCCAGGATCCCGGTCGGGTTTGTTTCCAGAATTGATTTTCAGACCTATGTGGCCGAATATTTCACCCACGAACCTTCTAGAATCTTACCTTTGCCGACGTCGTCATCGTCGGCCGTCGCCGTCACCGTCGTCGTCGTCGCCGTTGCCATCGTCGCCATTGCCATAGCCGCCGCCGTCGACGTCGTCACCCTCGCCGTCGTCGCCGCGTCGCCGTCGCCAGGGAGGTGGGAGGAGAGAGGGGAGGAGGAGGAAAAGGAGGACGAGGAGGAGGAGGAGGAGCAAGAGAAGGAGGAGGAGGAGGAGGAAGAGAAGGAGGAGAAGGACAATCGGAAGGAGAAGGAAGGAATAAGGCGCGCGGCATAGCGGACCGAAAAGAAATCCCAATAATACCAGTGGGTTGGGGGAAAGGAGGAGGAGGAGGAGGAGGAGGAGGAGGTGGAGGAGGAGGAGGAGGAGGAGGTGGAGGAGGAGGAGGAGGAGGTAGGAGGTAGGAGGAGGGAGGAGGGAGGAGGGAGAGGGAGAGGAGGAGGGAGGAGGGAGGAGGGAGGGAGGAAGGAGGGAGAAGAAGAAAGAAGAAAGAAGAAAGAAGGAGACGGAGGACGGAGGAGGGAGGAGGGAGGAGGGAAGAGGGAGGAGGGAGGAGGGAGGAGGGCGGAGGAAGGAGGGAGGCGGGAGGAGGGAAAAGGAGGAAGGAGGAGAGAGGGAGGAGGGAGGAGGAGGAGGGAGGAGGGAGGGGAGGGCGGAGGGGGCGGAGAGGAGGGAGGGTGGAGAGGAGGAGGAGGAGGAGGAGGAGGAGAAGGAGGATGGAGGAGGGAGGAGGAGGATGGAGCGGAGGCAGGCAGGAGGAGGAGGAGACACTCAGCGAAGCGGGCTCACAAAGAGAGCCCAATTCCACAGGCCGGTGTGGGGTAAGAAGCACGGCAGCGCCTGGCACTGTAACACACACACACACACACACATACACGCACATACACGCACGCACGCACGCACGCACGCACGCACGCACGCACGCACGCACGCACGCACGCACGCACGCACGCGCGCGGCGGGCAGCAGGCGCGCCGCAGGCGCGGCGTCGGATTTAACGTCGCTGGAATCGAATGCACGCTTGGATTGTATGAGACCGGTGGCCGGAAAAGCTCTTGGGCGGGTCCGTGCTCGGAGAGCGAAGTCGGCCCAGCGAGGATGGCGGGAGGGGTGGGTTAAGGGATTCGGTCGCTCGGGGTCGAGCCCCCCGTGCATGCCGTGCCTCATCTCGGCTGGCTGGAGGAGGAGGAGGAGCAGGAGGAGGAGGAGGCAGAAAGAGGAGGAGGATAAGAAGAAGAAGAAGAAGGAGGTGGGGAGGACGACGCGGTGTGCGTTTATGGTGCTCTTCGTGACGTGATCACATGACTGGTGTATATTTTGGCATGTCTGTGTCGACGGCGACACGATGTGTCTTTCTTGGCTTCTTCGGGACGTGATCGCATGACTAGTGTGTGTCTTGTGGTATGTCTGCGTCGTCGACGACACGGTGTGCTTTTCTTGCTCGAGCGGCATCTGACGACTGCTGGTTTTGCAAATCTGCGTTTCGGAAGAACGAGCTGCTGCACGACGAGATTCTCGCCACACGAAGCGCAGTGCTCTCGGGCTCACTCTTGTCATGCCCGCGCGACAATTCTCGGAAGCGAGACACGATGTGGTGGAGCAGCTCGGAGGAGCCACGATGGGGAAGAGCAGCTCGCGAGAGACATGATGTGATGGAGCAGAGGAGTCGGCGACGCCAAACGAGCGCCTCGCTCAAGACATCCCCACAATCTGGCCGCGAACGGGCAAGCGTCCTACCCCCTGGCTGCTCCTCCTTGGGGCGCCCAAGTGACACGCCTGATGCATCGCGGCGACCACGGAGCTCTCATGGCAGAGGAGTCGGCGACGCCGAACGAGCGCCTCGCTCGAGACATCCCCGCCATCTGGCCGCGAACGGGCACGTGTCCTGCCCCTCTAGCGGCTCCCCCTTGGGGCGCCCAAGTGCCAGGCTTGACACATCGCAGTGGCCACGGGGCTCTCAAAGCAGAGGAGTCGGCGACGCCAGACGAGCGCGTCGCTCGAGATCTCCTCGCAGTCTGGCCGCGAACGGGCAAGTGTCCTACATCCCTCCCTCGAAATCAAACGCAAGTTTTTCCCGCGACATGGCGACGCCCCCGGGCCCCAAATTTCAGCGTTGACGCCGATGCTGGCGATTGCATTTGTTTTGTTGACCCCGCGGGCCGCGCTGCGCGCGTCCACCAACATTGAAATTTGGGGGCGCGGGGGTAGGATATAAACTTGCATTTGATTTCGAGAAATGAAGGGAAACAATCGAAGGACGGGGGGTGGGCTCAACATCCCAAGGGAGAAGGCGCCCGATGCATAATTTGGAGGCAGGAAGAGTGGCACACAATCAAGTGAACACGATGCGCCGCGATTTACCACGCACGCAAACGGACACTGAAAAGGGGCGCGACAGCAGCGGCGCCGAAGGGCCGAACCGCCCCGGCGGGCGCCGTAGAAGGCGCCCATGGCGGGGGCCGACTACGCCGCGGGCTGCGGCAAGCACGGGACCAAGCGCTTCCGCTCAAAATTCATCCTGGTCATTGACGCCAGACCCTGCCAATCGGCTCAGCTCCGCCACGTTCACCGCGCCCTCGCGCGCGAGTTCCGCCCCGCGCCGCCCCTGGTCTGCGCAGGGCTGGTCGGGTCTGAGCTTAGCTGCCCCCGGAAAGACCAGGCATGCCTTCGCTGGACTGAAGCGGGCCGGCGCTGGGCATCTGGTAGACGTTGAACTCCAGCTGCAAGTTTGGAGCCGCAGGTGCCGATCCGGAGACGCGTGGGAACGTCTGGGTGGGTCTTGGGGACACCTGCGGACGCTCGCCAGCGCATGGGAGCGCGCCAGGGAGCTTTGACAACTCCTCGAAGCATTCGGGTGGCGCCTGGGAGCGCGCTCGGGAAGGTTCGTTGACGAGGACCGCATATGTTTTCGCAGATCCCGTATAGATCCCATCATAGATCCCACATGGATCTCAATGCGCTTCCCATATAGTTTGTCATTCGATTCCATACGAATCGTACGGGATCATTCTGTTTTCGAATCAAACTTGTTTGGTTCGAATACAGAATCATTTTGTATGCGAAAGAACTTCAAAGTCTGTCCTTTCTAAGTGGTCACCGCATGGGATCGAGTGAAGAACTAGATGGGAAATGCATTGAGATATACTTGGGATCTATACTGGGATCTGTGAAAAATGCAATGATGCAGCGCACCAGGGTCCCAGAAGCAGCCGGCAGAGAGCTCCGACCGCCTGCAGGGCCGCTTAGCAGGGTGCCCCCATGGCGCCCGCGACCCGACGCGATCCGCGGCATGCCCGCGACACGCTCGTGACGCGCCCGCCGCGGCCCGACTGAGCCGCGCGGCCCGAGGAGGCGGAAGCCCCCCGACGGCCCGGAGGGAAACGGGGTGCGAAAGCTGTCGCTGTGTGGGGCATGGGCGCCGGTCTGTCGATCTTCCAGTTGCTACTCCTTTGCCAGACTGTCACTAAGTAAATGCCATACATGTTTACATGTTTTCCCGAGTTGCCAATCCTTGCCCGCTCAAAACGACATGCTGCGATGAGTTCAAACAGAGCACCAGTAGCAGCTGGGCATCTGGGGCACTGCGCATGGCAGCCAATGGGCAACTGCTCAACAACTTTCTGGCACAATACAAAACACAAGACGCAGGGTGGAACGAACGCGGGCACGGCGCCGCCGCGCACGCCAAAGGGGCGGCGGACTGAACGAAAAAAAAAAACACGAAGAGTGAAAAGTGTAAGGAAAAAAGAGTGAACATCCGTACTCGAACTCACACGCAAGTTTTTCCCTTGACATGGCGACGCCGCCAGGCCCCCAATTTCTATGTTGACGCCGATGCTGGCGATTGCAATTTTTGGTTTGCCCCGCGGGCCGCGCTGCGCGCGTCCACCAACATTGACATTTAATAATTTGGGGGCGAGGGGGTCGGATAAAAGCTTGCGTTTGACTTCGATGACGGTTGTACCCCATGGCGGTTCCTCCCTAGGATGCCCAAGTCCCACGCATGGCACATCGTAGTGACAATGGACGGGTCTCAGTATGAGGAGCGAGTATGAGTGGGTCTGAGTCTGAGTGACAGGGTGCGGGTAAGACATGGCTATAGTGAGTATGTGTATATGTGAGCGTGAGTGGTCTAAGTGCGTGAGTCTGCGTGAAAGCGAGTCTGGGTGCGAGTGCGTCTGAGTATGACTGAATCTGGGTATGAGCGAGTCAGGGTACTAGTGAGTCTGAGCATGGGCGAATCTGAATTTGAGCGATCGCAGGGATGAGTGGGTGGATGTGAGTAAGTATGTGCATGACTGAGCTGAGTACGATTGGAACTGAGTGCGACGTATGACCTTGCTGAGCCGAGCATGCGTGTGCGAGGAAGGCGGGTGAGAGTGGAGGAGGCGGCGGAGGCGTCACACGAATACCAACGATCCCACCTTTAGGCTATGAGTAACGGACGCAGCCCTTCCAGACGGGAGGTATGAAAGGCAAGAGTTTCCAACACACTTACTGTACGCAGCCGCTCTGGCTAGAAGTTTCCGCACCTTTCTTTTCCATGTGACTCTGACCGCCATACTCCGCTGATGCGCTGACATCGTGCGAGAGGAGCCCATGGCAGTCTCGAGGATTCTGGCGGTGTGCCTTCTCCTGGCGGCCGTCCGGGAAGCCTCCGCCTTGGCCGTCGCGCGCCCGGACGATGCCGAGCCGGATGCGGCGGGAGCGCTCGAGGCGGACGCCGGCGGGGACAAAGAGGCGCAGCTTTTCGGCTTTCAGTCCGACGACGAGGCCGGCATCGGCGACGACGGCGAGGGGATCACCGTGGACATCGCAGGCTGCGCTGCGGAAGAGCGCGCTACGCTGGCCAGGAGTTTGCAACAGCGTTACAAGGAGCAGTTCGAGTCGAAGATCGAGGACGTCTTTCAGTCTGTCGAACGCCCCGCGTACCTCACCGTCGGCGAGTCGCGCAACAAGGCCCTCCTGCGCAATTTCCTGGCGCACGTTAAAGAGGTCACCACAGTAGATGATGTTAAATCGACCGTGGTGGCCGTTCAGCTGGACGAAGACGGCATGGCCCAGTGTAATTTGGCCGCGTTGCATTACTCGACCGAGAGGCTTGACATTCACTGTGTCAACCTGGCGGGCTGGCTGCCGGTCGAGTTCTTCGGACCGGGGATCAACGCGGGCCCATGGACTTGCGTCTACAACATGATCATCTGGAGCAAGCCGGAAATCTTCCGTACTGCAGTGAATGTTTCCGATCATAATGTTCTTTTAATAGACACCGATGTTGTGGTTTACCACGACATGTTCAAGCTCGGCGAGGAGGCGTTTAGGAATCAGACGGACGCCAAGTTGGCCGTGACTCATGAGATCCATGGCTACCGCAACCCGAACACTGGTGTTGTGTTCGGGACGAAGCAAGGCATGGACATGATCGAGTGGTGGGCATCCGAGAACATCAACTGCGTGAATCAATTTGCTGGAGACCAGGCCGCCTTTGCCAACTTGGCGAAGTTCGGGGACAACCTGCATTTCTGGAAGCAGCTGGCCGTGATCAGGGTGCCAGAGGTTGGGCAGTGCGGCAACCGAGGCATCTGGGCCACCCACTACAACTGCCTGGGCGGCAAGAAGGAGAGGGTCATGAAGAATGTTAGCGACTGGCACGAGGACGCGTGGGCCCAACTGCCCCCGAACGAGCGGCTTGCGAAGGCACAGCAAGCCAACTTGATCGGGCAGCAGAATGTCGTGGCGGCGATGAAGGCCAGTGGCGACTGGTGGGTCACCGAGTGAAGCTGTCCGGCCCGCCGACAACACGTAGAGTTCTGGAGGTGGTGCAGTCTTGGGGTGTGAGTGTTGGGCACCGCTTAAAGCTGAGGGAGCAGCACCGGCAGGCATGGATAATGGTCAAACCGAGAGCTTGCATCATGAAAGATGGCAGCGACGACGAAACTTTAACTGGGTGGGTGTGCACCGGTGGGGAACATGGGGTGTATGCGAACCCGTTGGGTCCCTTGGCGGTTGCCACCCGTCGGGGTCTGGCATAGGCCGCTCGCCCAATCTTGTCGCTCCCATTCTATTGTCGAGGTCGTGATGGCGGCACACCAGATCTTGCGTGGAGCGCCATGGTGTATCCACGCGGCTCCACACACAAGCGAACAAGCAGAACCGTAGCCATTTGGGCTCAGCTCAGCATGGGTCTGCCGGCGCGACGTGCGGGCTGCGTTGCTGGTGTGCTCTTCCATGGCACTCTCATCGGCGGCGCGCTCTCCGGCGCAGGCGTGGGCGACGAGAGGGCTCCACGCGAGGACGCCCGCGACTTGTTATGGGCCGCGCTGGGGCACCTGACTGGGCTTGCAGATGACGAGCTGCACTCGGCCGCGAGGGAGCTGCTCGCGATCCCCGCGCCCTCGCAGCGGGCGCTCTGGGCCCGCAGCGTGCGCTGTGGGCGCTCTTCCGGGGGCGGGGCCACGGGGGTGTCCGCGCCGCCGTGCGCCGGCGAGGCCGCGGCGCGGGTGTTGGTCGCGCTGGCGGAGAGCGGCAGAATGCCGCTGCGCGGCTTCGAGCCGTTCCCTGGGGACCCCCTGCACCCGCTCTGGAAGGCGGAGGACCAGACTGCCTTCCACAGCTGGGCGAACGACAACGAAGACGTTCCAGACGACGTGCCTCCGAGGAGCCTCATCCCGGCTGGGCAGCCGCTTGTGGTGAGCCGCGTGCAGGCCGCGGAGTTCGTGAGGCAAGCAAAGGCCCGAATTCTAGAGCTGACAAGTGCCTGGGAGCCTGGCTCTCTAGGCCGATGCCTGGAATGGGACGAGCCGTTCTACGCCAGGCACGGCTTTGGAAAATTGTGCCGGCACTTCGACATACTCAGCTACGCGGATCTTGCCGCGGGTCGGCTGGAGGCACGGGAGGTGTACCCGATGGGGACCCGGATACTCACGGTGGATGTTCTCAATCTTCCGAGGTGGGTTCCGCGCGACTACGGCATAGTGGTCTGCTTCTTCGTGCTGGAGCACGTGACCGACCCCCACGCCGCCATGCGGGGCGTGGTCAGGATGATGCTGCCCGGGGGCTTCTTGCTCCTGGGCGCCCCGTTCGTAGATGGGGTCCACGCATGCCCCAACGACTTCTTCCGCTACACACCGAGCGGCCTGCGCAGACTGGCCCTGGACGCCGGACTCGACGTGCTCTGGGCGATGTCGCCCGGGGGGCCCGCCGTCGCCGCAGGGGACCTCCTGGGGCTCAAGTCCTCTTACTGGGCGGCCGAGGCCCTGCTGGAGGAGTCGTCGGATCAGCCCGCGAACGTGTTCCTGCTGGCGGCGAAGCCGGGGTGGCACCCGCGAGGCCCGACGCGGGCGAATGTCACTGGGGCGGCTGCCCGCTGACCCCGTGCCCGTGTCGGCGACTACAGTGTGGGGGTGATTGCGTTGGGGTGTTGCTTTCGATCGGCGCCGCTGGGGCTCAGGCGTCACCACGCTGCGCCAGAGGTTGAATGAGCCCCCGTCGGGGCGCGGCAGAGATCTCTGTCGAGGTCCTCGCCCGCCCCCCCCCCAAGCGTTGGTTTCAAGCCACACCCTCTGCAAGCCGCACCCTTCGCAGCTGCCGACCGCGACTTCCCCGGCGGGCCAGCCCACGAGCGTGCTCCTCACGGTGGCGGCGGCGCGCGGACCGGCCCCCGCGGGGCTCCAAGCAGGCCAGCGCCACCGCGGCGTCCGCCAGCTGAGCCGGGGCCCTCGGGCCTTCCTCGGCGGGCGGGACGCCACTGGGAGGACTTCTGAGGCAGGTCTGGCAGTGAGCGGGAGAGGGGGCGCGGAGGAGCCAAGCCACCTGTGACCGAGCGCGTCCCACCACTCGCAAAGTGCCTACTCGCAAACGTCCGAAACAAACATGTCTTCCTCTATGCAATGTAGCGTAAGTTCCCCGCGGGGGATCCAGGCCGTTTGCGAGTAGTCACTCTGCGAGTAGTGGAACGCGCTTGTCCAACGTGCAGGGGGGCCAAAGACGTCGACGTCGACGTCCTCGTTCCGGAGGCCTTCGGGCGTTGCCAGAGGTTCCTCGTCGCCACGACGGAGCGCATTTCGGAAAGCCGGCCAGGACGGACCTCGGGAGGGGCCCGAGGATCCACTCTGAACGGCTTTGGGGCGAAGCCTTCTGGAGAAGGGCCCCCCCCTTGCAGAGGCTGCGAGGATGCTCGCGCCCCCCGGCCCTCGGTGGCCACATGTGAGCCCTACCCCCGCCCTCACGATTTTTCAGGGGGGGAGGTGGGGCTCACTTCGTCCGGGAGGCCCCGAACGAAGCGAACCCCCACCTTCCCCCTTAGCAATCATGGGGGGCGGGGGTAGGGCTCGCATGGGGGCTCCTACCCGCGCCCCGCGGCCCGGGCGGGAGGGCCGTCCCTTCTCTCCCGGGGGGAGGGGGGCCGCGCGGGGGCTCGCAGACAGGCGCAGGCCAGCGCGGCGGGAAAGGCAGGCCGTGGGGCTGGGAGGAGGAGGAGAAGACAGGGTCGGCTGGACGCAAGCAGTGAAGGAAGAGGTACCCATGCCTCTACCCATCCCTCGTTTTCCCCTCTCTGCGCCTCCTGCGAGGCCCTCGTCGCCACCGCTGGATTCGCTTCGAAATCCTGGTCAGAACGCGCTGAGGCGCCACCGCGCTGCCCGTCTCGGGACGGCCTCCGTTGCCGATGGAGCGCGTCGTTCGTTCGTTCGTGTGGTGTCTTGGGGTGCAGTGGGGGCCCATGCCAAGAAACACCCTGCTTGCCTCCAGGATGCCCTGGGTTTCTTGGGTTTCGATGGTTTTGCGATGGAAAGCGCAACGCTCCCACACCAAAAGTCCATGGACGCCCTGGGGTTTCAGGGTTGGGTCTCTTGTGGACGGTTTCTTGTGGAGGGGCTCCTATTGTAAGTAGAGGAACGAAGAATAACATAAACATAATAACTCGGAGGTCCGCGCGGATTCTCGGATTGGCGCTGGGCCCCCTGGCCGAGCTTCCGGCGCCGCCCTTGGCGCGCTCCGCGCGCCAGGGAGGGGGGTCCAACACCGATCCGAGAAATCCGCGCGGACTTCCGAGTTATGATGTTCATGTCATTCTTCGTTCCCCTGGTGAGTGACCTTTCGCTGGAGTTACCCTTGGTGCGGGCCCAGTGGGGTCCCCCGATCGCCGAACGCAAGGCGGCAGTGGCGTCCTGCGCACCTGTGTTGGCCCCCCGCGGCCTGCGAAAAGCCGCGCCTCAAAGGTCACTCTTACCCAGGTTCATTCTTGCGTGTGGCCGAATAGGCACAGACACAAGCAAACGTGGATGTTCCCATGGACATGCAGGTGTTGGAAGCCATCGACCAACACTCATGCGTAGCATGTGGTTTGGAGTCCTCCTCCCCTCCCCCCGAATGCAATGTTGGTTTCGGATCTTCCGAGCTTGAGTGTCCGAGCGGTGCTGCGTAACATTGTGGGGGGGAAGTGTTGCTGATTTGTTACCTCAACCGTCTGGAAACATATGGGAGATGTAGGGGAAGACGAGACTCCAGAACACATGACAGTGGATAGGGGAATCCTTGATGGTGCGTCTGTGTAGGTGCAGCTCATCCACGCGGGCTCAGGGGTCGCGGGGGTCTGCTGGCCGTGGAATCCCCATCGAGCGAGTCTGCAGCGGGAAGCCCCGTGCAACCCCCAAGAAAACGTTGGTCCCCAAAGGTGGTCACGGTTCGGTTGCGTCGCAGTCGGTTGCGTTCGGTCGGTTCGGTGCGGTCGGTTTTTCTGTCGATGCCGCGTCGTTGCGCCCGTCTGGGCTGCTTTCGGCATATTAAATTGGTATGTTTCGGTTTCGCTGTCGATTCAGGCGGTTTTCGGTTAGTTGTCGCCGTGCACGACCGTGGTTCCCAGTCTACAGTCAAGGCGCTGAAATAAGGACCGCTTTCGGTTCAGGAGGGGCACGGGTTTTCGGGCCGCTCCTCAGATTGATGCCGTGGGACTTGTTTGTTTGTGGCCTAGGCCCGCCGTGGCCAGAAGAGCCTATTCGTTCTTCATCTTGCGTTTCTTATGGTAGCACGATGGCTGTAGTTGGAACCATCCTCGAAGCATAGTCGCACCCGCTGTAGGTGGAGCCTTGCAGGCCGACGATAGCAGACGACGAGGCCGAGGGAGAGATAACGACAAATTCGGATGAACAGCTACCACGTTCTTGGGGCCACCTGGGGGCGCTGGCACGGATTCTTCCCCTGGCACGGGAGGCGGCGCATGAGAATAAATGGTCAACCCTCCTAGCAGGCGCTCCTGAGGAGATTCGCGGCCTGCCGAGCCACCTGGCGCCCGAAAGCACCTCGTACTTCGGCGGCGCGCACGAGGGTGCAGGGCCTCCGTCGAGCCGTGCACCCCACGCCCTGACAAGGCGGAGGTTTTCTCAGAAGACCGCCCCCCTCCCTCCCCCGTTTTGCGCGCTGCCAGGTCTTGGCTCGATCGTTCCAAGGCCTCTGACTCCTGGCATGGGCTGCACTGCACGATGGGGCCGAGCGAGCTCCAGACCTTAACGGGCGAAGAACGGTATAAAACCATGTTTTTCGTTGTCGGGGGCGTTTGCCCCAGGGCGGCTAGAAAGTTTATACCCTTACGGTGGCACGTCAAGATATAAATTTTCCAGCCGCCCTGGGGCAGCGCCCCCAGCGACGGAAAAGCTTATTGTATACCGTTCTTCGCCCACTAAAGACCCTGGGCACCCCAACTCCTTCGTGACGCTGGAGGTCTGCGCGGATGCTCGGTAGGATCGGGAGGATCAGGAGAGCGCGGGCGGGGAGGGTCAAGCGCAGGGGGAGCGAGAGAGGGAGGGAGGGAGGCATGGATAGAGTCCTCCTCCTCCTCCTCCTCCTCCTCCTCCTCCTCCTCCTCTTCCGTAGCCATTTTGGCTCAAGTCGGATGAACGGTACATCGTACCTAGATTCCGACTGAGGGCCAAACTGGCCTTCGTAACGTTTGAGCGCTCAAGCTCTCTTGCATACTGCTTAGGTCGACCTCTTCCTTCCACTTTTTTCTTCTTCACCTGCCGCCCCAGGCAGAGGTCCAGCGTGGTCCGCCCCACGCTCGGCCAGCAAACTCCTGAGTGCTCCTGCTGGAGAACCCGCATGCGATGGACGGCTCTTCTGACAGCGGCCGTAGTGACGGCGGTGCTGCCAGCCACAGCCACAGCCGCAGCGGCGGCTCGCTCTCGCAGCGTCGGCCACCACGCCAGCGTCAACGCCGTGACGAGCGCCTTGGAGGTGGACCTGACGTGCGCCGAGGTGGTGAACGGGGCCGCGATCGTCGTGGTGACGGGCGCCGCGCCGAGCCTCGGGCAGATCCTCGTGGAGCCGACCCCCTGGGGGCCAGGGACCCATGGGCCGGAGGCGCCCCCGCACCCGGTGCTGCCGCCGCAGACGCCGCTGGCCCTGCTGCCTCCGCCGCCGATGTCGCTCCCGCCGCTGGCACGCCCATCAGCGGCACGGACACTCCGACGACGCTCGAGGATCAGATCCAACGCCTCGTGGCCAACCAGTTCGGTGCGGCCCAGGTCTCCATCGAGGCCAATCTATCGGCCTCTCTGTCGACGATGGTCACGTCCAGCCTCGAGTCTATGCAGGGCTCGCTACAGGCGGGCATCATCCAGTCCATGCAATCGCAACTGGCACCAGTACACCAGAAACACTCGGAACTCGAGAGGGAGCTCCACGTCTACCGCGAGCAATCCAACAAGCTTGAAAAAGAGCAGAAACATATCAAGGAATCCGTCAAAAGATGGAGTAGCTTCTCTCGATGGCTGAGTCCAAGATCCCCGCCTTCTCGCTCCAGCAGCTCGCGGAGTGGGATCGCCCGCCCGAGCCCACGGTTTTCTCGTGCGGCTCACCGTCGACGTTCACGATGTCCGAGCTCAAGACCGCTCTCACGCCTTGGTTCCGCGACGCCGGGGTCGACATCGCCTGCCTCTCGGTCATCGGCAATGACGCCCCGAACAAGCGCTTCAACATCCAGATCGCTGGAGGTGCGGAGGCTCCTGCGCGCGCACTGGCACTCACTCGCAACCTTAAGGTGGGCGGCCGCTGGCGCGATCTCCACGTCAACAACGCTGCTGGCCAACCCCAGCCACTCTACGTCAGTGGAGCTAAATCGCCAAAGGATGTTCGTCGTGAAATTCAGTCCAAGGAGCTTCACACCATCCTGGCCACGGATCGCCCTGATCTCAACTGGAAGGTCAACCGCAGCAAGGGTACCATCTCCGCAGAGGCCGTCCCCATTTGCGAGCTCCAGGTTAGCGCCATGGACGAGCCCACGCAGATCATCTGGAACCCGCACACGATTCAGAACTTCGGACTGGACCACGTCAAGTACCGCACGCAGTTCGCCAACCTATTCGCCCAACCTGGCGGTGCTGATACTTCTGGATGGCCTCTTTGACGATCGCTGGCGCCCCTGGGCCATCGCACCGGCAGCCTCTACTGCTTCCGTTGGTCTCCAGACTATCTCTTGGAATGCTGGATCGCTCCTCTGCTCTAGCAAACCCCGTCGCATGAAGAAATTTCGTCACCTCGCACCCTTCTTCAGACAGCAAGCTATCATTTGTCTGCAAGAAGTTCGAGGTTCTCGTCAACTTCTGGAGGAGACACTGAAGCAATTCACATCGAGCTACCACATCCACTTCTCGGCGGCCCCCCTGCGAGACGACGGCTCACCTGCAGGCTTTGGCGGTGTGGCGGTCTTAGTCCCGCTTTCGCGCGCAGATGCCATCGCCGTTGTGCCTCCTGCTGACCGCCCGCAGCAATGGCAGGATCTCATCGTTCCAGGGCGGGTTCAACTGGTACACATTACGCACCCTACCACGGGAATGGCTTTACGCATCATGAATGTCCACAATTTCGACTTCTCCCAGCAGCAGCTGGCGCGGACCGCGTGCGCATGGCACTCGGCCGCACGCTGGGCTGCCGAGCTGGTCGAGGATCGCACCTTCGTCGCCATTGGGGACTTCAACTTGAACGCCGCCGCCACCGCCTCCTACGTCCGACCCGAGGCCGGACAGGCCACCAGCACGGCTACGCGACACAGACAACACCCTCGGCAGTGGCAAGACATGTTCGACGACCAAATGGTTGAGAGACCATGAGCGAGATGCCAACTCGCTACTCGAGGGCGACTGAGACGGCTACCTGCATCGACCGGGCTTTCGTCTCCTTGCCCCCCCAGTACCTCGAGCAGCTTATCTGCGACTTCGAGGTGCACCGCGAGGCCGCCAACTACGCCGACTGGCGCCTGAGTGATCATGCGGCCGCGGTCTTGCGCATACGACCGCGGATTGCCATCGAGCGCGACGCGCAGAGCATACCCAAGCACATCTTCAAGTCCCCAATGTACGCCGCGACGCTGGGCACCTTGATGGACGCCCTGGACCTGGTCACCCTTCCCCCCGAACAGCGGCTTTCGGAGACGAAACGCATGATGAAGGAGGCAGCCCGGCTCACCCAGAACGCACTCTCCAAGCTCCCCCTGGGCACGGAGATGGGCTCCCCCGAGACGCTCGAGGCTCGGAGGCTCATCGTGCGGAGTATTGCACGAGCGGTGTGGCGTCAGGACCGCTGGACCGCTCTGAACCTCATTCGCAACACGGAGCTTGGTCGACGACCTCGAGGTGATCGAAAACTCCGCCATCGTCCGCCTCGTCGACGCGACCAGCTTCGAGCACGAGTATCATGACCTCAATCGTCGCTGGCATGAGCGCCAGGTCCAGCTGGCCGCTTGGAGAGTCAAGCAGAACGAGAGCCCCGAGCGTGCTGACGTGCTACAGCGCTTGGAGGCGTTGGCGCGCAGGCGCGCAGCCCTGTGGGCCCCCTTCCGCAAGCGCCTCGTTCTGAACGGCCTGCAGCTCCACTCTGGCGGCCCCGACGGCCCCGTCGCCCGGCAACCCGGTGGCATCGCCGACGCCCTCTTGAAGTATTGGGCCCCTGTCTTCCTGGGCGCCGAGTGCGATGCATCTGCCCTCGACGAGTTCCTCGACAGCGCGATGCCCAGCATGCCCCTCGTGGACCTCGCGACCCCAGCTTGGAGCAGATGCGCGCCGCTTTTCGTCGGGCAAGGCGGTCAGCACCAGGGCCTGGCGGGCTACCGGTGGAGGCGCGGCTCCCACGCCCGCGCGCAATGGATCACGTTTACCCGGTGATGCTGAAGCTGTTCGAGGGCACGGTCATGGCGCCCGGCCTGAATGCCAGCGACTTCGCATGTCTGCCGAAGGGCTCGCCCGAGGAGGGCCGCAGCGACTTAGTGGACTGCGTTCGCCAGCCTCACCAGACCAGGCCGCTGAGCCTCAATAGCCAGGACTCGAAGGCCATCGCCTCGGCCATCAACTGGAATCTCAAGCGCGTGGCCGAGCGCGCCACCGACGAGGTCCAGCAAGGCTTCATCTCGGGGCGGAATTTCATCAAACACATCCTTGTCATGGACACAGAATGCCGGATCGCTTCAATGGGTCCCGGGGCCGTGGCGAACCATCCAGTTTTTATTAGCTTTGATTTCTCGTCGGCTCTCGCGAGCCTGAACAGAACTTACCTGAGCAAAGTGTTGGAGCGTTTCAAAATTCCTCTCGGATGCAGGCATGCGATTGCCGGATTGTACTCCAGCATGGTAGGATATGTCAAAGTAGGAGGCGAACGCGCGAGTGAGATCCAAATCCTCTCGGGCGTTGCCCAGGGATGCCCTCTCAGTGGCACGTTGTGGGCGCTTGGGCTCGACCCCTTCCCTCGCCTCCTCTCTCGGGAGCTTCCCACTCACCAGCTTGGTTCCTTCGGAGCCTGCGCGGATGACATCGGCACGGTCCTCCGCGCCTTGCAGACGGTTCGAGTCCTTGAGCCCCATTTTCTCCGGCTGCGGCAGGTTGCGGCATTATCTCTGCAGGCCGTCAAGTGCGTCATCGTTCCACTGTGGGCTGACCTTACAGATGAGGTCGAATCCGTTGTCCAGGCTGAGCTCTCTTTGTGTGCCCCCAGCTGGTCTCAATTTCTGGTCGCACCTAAAGCTAAATATCTGGGAACCCTACAGGGACCAGGTGCGACCCTCGATAATGAATGGGCTGTCCCGTCCATGAAGTGGCGCAGCAGATGCATTGAGCTCGGTGCTCTTGCCTCTTCCGCCGACGTCTCTGCCAGATTGTACAACTCGTCGGTTCTGTCCTGCACGTCTTATGTGGCGCAGTTCTACCCCATTAGCGACACCATGCGGAAGAAAGAGCTGTGGGGCCTGCACAAATCGTTGCGCCTTCCTCCCAACTCCTTCGCTCTCTCTGAGTTCCTCTCTCTTGGCACCTGGTCCCCTTCCCCTGTCCCTTCTTCGCTCCTGTCTACTGCCCTCGCTTGTGCCTGGCGCGGCGCTTTACTCACGCTCGACTCTCTCTGGGGCCCCCTCCTTCGCCGTCTAAGGGACGCCGCGGAGGCCTCGAGTGCTGCCGGGGGCCTCGGAGCAGTCGACCTCGTACAGGGTAGCTGGTGTGCTCCGTGCTGGCAGCGCCGCCAGGCGATTGTCCAATACTATGCGCAACTTTGCTCCGCCATGCCGATGTCGCACCCCCCCTCTCTTCTGTGCAGCTTCGCCTCGCCCAGCGCCGTGCACGAATCGCCGTGCGCGAGGCCACCCGGGAGGGTCGTCGGCCCAAGGTGCAAGGCCTCTATGCGCGCACCCTTGCCAGTCTTGCCTATCCCGATAAGCTTGAGCTCCTAATTGGGCGGCGCCTGCGGTCCTGGTTCGATTGTCCTGCCCCCCGAAACATGCGAGTTCGATGGGACCTGGTGCGGGAAATCCTGCGCCGGGCCCCTTCCGAGCACTCGCTGGCCGTACCTAAAGGCGATTTCGGGGGGATGGACCACCACGGGCCGAATGCACGTTACAGATACTTAATGGAGCTGTGTTTTCGAATGTTCGCGCCCCGATAGCATAGCACACTATCTAAAGTGCCCCCGCCTCACTCACCTCGTTTGTCGTCCTCGTGCTGTCGTCTCGCCGTGTCCCCTTCTCCGCCTCGGTCTTGGTCTCCCTACGCAATATCCGGCATTTGACCTCACCCGGGAGAATGCTATTTTAGCAACGGCGCTCAGTTTCTGTATCTACCACGTTGCCAAGGAGATGGCTTCGCATCAAGACGGACGCCCTTTTAACTTTCCCGCAGCAGCTCGATGCTTTGAAAGCGGCATTGGCCAAAATGCCAAGCAATTGCTCGATTCTACCCCCTCCGCCCAATGCGGCTAGGCCATACAGCTGGCTCAGGCCGAGGCGTCGAGGCTGAGCTCGACCGACTCGCTGAAGCTACTGGCGCTCCTCCTCCTCCTCCTCCTCCTCCTCCTCCTCCTCCTCCTCCTCCTCCTCCTCCTCCTCCCTCTCTCCTCATCCCTCTGTCCTCCTCCTCTCTCCTCTCCTCTCTCCTCTCTCCTCCTCCCTCTCTCCTCCTCCCTCTCCTCCTCCTCCTCCTCCTCCTCCTCCTCCTCCTCCTCCTCCTCCTCCTCCTCCTCCTCCTCCTTCTCCCTCCCTCCCTCCCTCCCTCCCTCCTCCCTCCTCCTCCTCCTCCTCCTCCTCCTCTCCTCCTCCTCCCTCCTCCTCCTCCTCCTCCTCCTCCTCCTCCTCCTCCTCCTCCTCCTCTTCCTCTCTACAATTACTCAATATGAATACTACTCTCCCTCTTCCCCTGATTGCGTGCTAGGAGTGTTCGCCCCCCCCCCCCCGCGTCCTGTTTTTTTACACGCAGGTTTCCCGGGAGTTGGGTTTTCGCTTGCATTTTTTTCCAAAATGCTGCTCTCGCTGAGGCGCCGGCCTCATTTTCGGGCCCCGCTCGTTCCGAATCGTGCTCCCGCTGCAGCGCTGGCCTCATTTCCGCGCTTCCGCTCGTTCCGAATCGTGCTCCCGCTGCAGCGCTGGCCTCATTTCCGCGCTTCCGCTCGTTTCGACTCGTGCTCCCGCTGCAGCGCTGGCGTCATTTCCCGTGCCATGCCACGGCGTGCAATGCAATGCTAGGTTGATGCTACGCTTTGCGGTGCTCTTCTACGCCATGCCATGCCGTGCTCTACAATGCATCGCGTACCCTTTCGGGATCATTGCCCTGCTCGACATCCGACTGTGCGAGTAGAGAGGGGATCTGCGCCATGGTAAGGGATGGGAGGGAGGGGTAGGATGTCAGATATGACGCGAGCGCACCTAGCTTGTCCTCCCCCCTCCCTCCTCTCCTCCTCCTCCTCCTCCTCCTCCTCCTCCTCCTCCTCCTCCTCCTCCTCTTCCTCCTCCTCCCCCCTCCCTCTCTCCTCCTCCTCCTCCTCCTCCTCCTCCTCCTCCTTCTCCTCCTCCTCCTCCTCCTCCTCCTCCAGAGGGAGTGAGGGAGGGAGGAAGGAGGGAGGGAGAAGGAGGAGGAGGAGGAGGAGGAGGAGGAAGGGGAAAATGAGCGACCCACTGTGCCCTGACGGCTGGGGCTGCGAGTGCCCTCGCAGGAACCCCCCTCCGCAAATGCGGACGGCAGACGGCGGCCAGCACCCGACCGGCGGAGCTGACCGCAATCGTCGTCCACCTCCCTCCCCTCCTCCTCTCCGCCTCATCCGAACCCACCTCGCCCTGCCCTCGAGGAGGGAAAAACTATACAAACATAAACTTTCGACGGTCCGCGGGGACTTCTTGGATCGGCGCTGGGCGCCCCTGGCCAGGCTCTTGCTTTGGTTACCCAAGGAATCGAATGGATCTGTCGAGGCTTCGCCACGTTGCCGTCCTTGGGCGCCTCGTGGCTGTGCTGAGGTTTCGCCACGTTGCCGGCCGTGGCCGATCAGTGAGCGCCCGTGTGCTGGATGGGTGTGCCAAGGTTTCGCCACGTTGCCGCCCGTGGGCGCCTCGTGGGCGTTGCACCTTTCACCACATGGCTTACACCACACAGCCTACACCACATGGCTTATGCGTACCACACTGTTTACGCACGCCACACAGCGTGCACCACACAGCTTGCACCACATACTGCGCATTTGGCAGTCAGCGCGGGGAGGTTCTCCCCCCCGACGGGGGTCAAGTTCAGCCTGTCCGCGCCCGTGGGCCGAGGCTCCGTTTTTTGTTGCGGCGGGTGGCGTAGGCCGACTGGGGTCGACGTCGCGCGGCAATGTTTGCCCGCGACGGGGGTCCATTGGGGGCTGCTAGCGGGTGTGGCGCCCCCCCCACTCTTATTACCAAGCGCAGAGTAGGTTCTCTTGCTCAGAAAAGAAAGTATATCCCCCACGCATTCTCCCTGGGGTTACTGGTCTCCCATGGGGCACTGCAAACTACGTATGGTTTTGCTATCTCGAAGCACATATGATCAATAATATTTTTCTTTCCAACAACAAGTTTGCCAGGTGTCTCGGATTTCCGCGCGCGCACTTCCTCACCATCACCCTTATTAGCGCCGCCGCAGCACGTCATCGGCATCGTCAACTGCCGGCATTGCAGCCATCATCACTCAAGCACCTTCATCACAGGTACATCGATTTCATCATCATCGTCATCGTTATCGTCGTCACAGGCATCGGCGCCGTCATTGGCCTTGCCGTCGTCATCGTCATCATCCTTGCCATTGCTACTATCATCATCGTTGCCGCCGTTGCCGACGTCATCATGATACCGCGCCCGCCCGAGTCACCGACTCGCACTGAAGTGCCCGCGCGCCGGCGCGGCCTTTGAGACGCGCCGGGAAGTTGCCATGGGTAGAAACCATCGCGGCCGCATCGGCTGTGCCAATCCAGCTGGCCGCTTTGCGCCCAAGCTTGCGCACGCCAGCTCGGCCGCAGGGATGCACCAGCCAGAGCCAAGCAGTCATCGGAATCGCGGCAGCACTGGTTTTGCAAAGCAAGTTGCGGGTAAGAGGGTGGACTGATTGCGCGAGCAGTGGAGTTGACAACTCGCGAGCTGGATTCATTGTTCGGGGTCCCGCTGGCAAACATGACATATTTGAATGGGATTATTTGGTTCCGTCAACTTTTGAATACGCTTGCACCGCTCCCACTGTCACATCGCCCTTGCTTTCCATCGTGTCCACTGTTGTGCTGGTTCGGCGGCGGTGGCTCCTGGAGCAGGCACGTGCTGGGCACCCGCTGCACATCGCCATCTCGGTTGGTGTTTGACAGGGCACGGCGAAAACGACGTTCCTCGTTGACGACGGTGCCGCACCGCTTTCCCTCCATGCAAAGGCCATCCACCGTGGTAGCACGGATAGGCCACATGTTTGCCATTGTCCCCCTGTGCATGACCGTTGATCGTGGCCACCAGCACAGCAGCGAACTGCTATCCCAGGTTTTCATTTCGTTCTCTTCTTTGGTTGGCGGTCCTTGCGCGCACGTCCGTGGGGACTTTGCTGATACATGCCCTGGTGGGGATGACCCTTCCCCTTCTGGCGGTGGGAAAGAGCGCGTTCTGTGGTCGGTTGGAAGGGGAGGGGGGTTGGAAGCAGACCCCCCCCCTGGATGGAGGGGAGGGGGGGGGGTTGAACATGAGGGGGGTTTAATCGGCTACAAGTAGGTAAGCCGCATGAGGGTCGCCCGTCGTTCGTCCGTCGTGCGGCGCACTTGGGTAAGTCGCCCAGGCCCGCGCCGTCGTTCGTCGCGGACACCACTTGTCCTGGGGGCGCGCCACTCGTTGTTCCTCGAAGTCAACCAGTCGTGGCGCGCGTTTTCCGTCGTTTGTCGTCGCTCGGGCGAGTAGGATTCCAATGGGATCCCCATAGACTTCCAATAGGACCTGTATTGGGGTTCCAATTGGATGGAATAGGACCCCATAATTCCGAAACGCCCTCATCGAATTCCAAGTGGATGCAAGAGTTCTCCTCGCGGGACCCACTCGGACGTCCCTCAGATTCCAGTATGATATTGGTAGAAGACGAAAACGTTGGAGTAGGTTTCAAGTATCGCGCAAACATGAAGTTCATGTGCTCCCAATGGATGGCAAGAGGGCCCGAAGTACGGTTCCAGTAGGGAGCTCAATGATATTGCTACCCCGACGACAAGTATTAATATTACCACTGCTGGTGCTACTACCCGTCTACTACTGGCGCCCCTCGTACTACCACCACTGTTATTACCACTAGGACTACCACGACAGCTACTTCTACGGATACTGATACTACTACTGCTATTCGTTTTACGATTACGACGACGACGACGACGGCGACGGCGACGACGACGACGACGACTACTACTACTTCTACTACTGTTTTTAATTGTCCGGTAAGTGTTTTGGAACAGTGCCGCCGCTATTTGTTTAAAGTGGTTGAGATGTTGCGAATTGCTTTTCGCTGTTTTTTTGCCGGAGTTGGTTTGTGTGGGTTGGTTCGCGTCGCTGTTTTTTTCGTATCAGTGGGTAAGTGATTGGATTTGTTTTTTTCTGCGTTGGTTTTGTTTGACTCATGGGTTAGATGTATATAAAAGGGGAGCGATGTGCTTTTAGCTAAGTGTAATCCAATATTTATTTAATTGCTCACCCGTTTGAAGTTAGTAGTTTGGGTTTCGTTGGCTGTTCTTTTGTCGTTGAAGCAAAGTAGTTAATTCTGGAATTTGATTTTGTCGTTCGTTTTTTCGGAGAGGGTAGGTATGTATCCACGAGGTGTGTTGTTTGTCGTTTGCTCAGGGACTTAACTATCACGATATTTGAGGTTGTTCGTCGTTTTTCATGCGATGTAACTTGAATAGCTTAGAGACCCCTCTCATGTTTGAACCCCCTCCCCCTTCCTGTGATGGAAGGGGGGGGGTCCAACCCCCCCCCCTTCCCCCTCCCCTACTTTTCCTCTCTCCCTTTCCTCGGGCCGGCACCTGCGTTGTCGGCGGCGGCTGGCGGCGGCGGCGGGGGCGACGACTTCCTTTTCTGGGCCGGCGCCGGCGCCTGCGGCGGCGGGCGGCGGCAGCGGGGAGCGTCGACGAGGACGGCGGCGACGGCGATGAAGACGACGACGATGACGCTCCGCCACCGTGCATTGGTTTTGGGTCAGAGTCCTAATGGATGTCTCTTGGAGTCTCGTCGGAAGGCTCTCGGTGGCCTCGGGAGGGCGTTTGTGAAGTCTCCTGAGCGCCTCTTGGGCGTCTCTTGGGCCCTCCCTGACGTGGTGGTGGTGGTGGTGGTGGTTGTGGCGGTGGTGGTGGTGGTGGCAATGCTGGTGGTGGTTGTGTGGTGGTTGGTGGTGGTGGCGGTGGTGGTTGTTGTGATAGTTGTGGTGGCAGGTCCAGGTAATGGTGGTGGTGGCGGTGGTGGCGGTGTTGGTGGTGGCGCTTTGGTTTCTGGCGGTGGTGGTGGTGGTGATGGTATTTGTGGTGGTGGTGGTTTAAGATGCTGGTTGTGGTGGTGATAACGGTGGTGGTGTGGTGGTTTGTCGTGGTGGTTGTGGTGGTTGTGGTGGTTGTTGTGGTTGTGGTTGTGGTTGTTGTTGTGGTGGTGGTGGTGGCGGTGGTGGTTGTTGTGGTGGTTGTGTGGTGGTTTGTTGTGGTGGTGGTGGTGGTGGTAAGTGGTGGTGGTGGTGGTGGTCGTCGTGGTGGTGGTCGTGGTGGTGGTGTGGTGTGGTGGTTTGTGGTGGTGGTGGTGGGTTGTGGTGGTGGTGGTGGTGGTGGTGGTGGTGACGGTGGTTGTGGTTGTGGTGGTGGTGTGGTGGTTTGTTGTAATGGTAGTGGTTGTAGTGGTGGTTGGTGCTGGTGGTCGAGGTGGTGGTGGTTTGGTGGTGGTGTGGTGGTGGTGGTTTGTGGTGATGATGGTGGTGGTGGTGGGTTGTGGTGGTGGTGGTGGTGTTGGCCGTGGTGGTGGTTGTGGTGTGGTGGTTTGTGGTGGTGTTGGTGGCGGTGGTGGTGTCGGTGGCTTGTGGAGGTGATGCTAATGGTGGTTGTGGTGGCGGTGGTGGTGGTGTGGTGGTTGGTGGTGGTGGTGGTGGTGTGGTGGGTTGTTGTGGTGGTGGTGGTGGTTGTGGCGGTGGTGGCGTGGTGGTGTGGTGGATCGTGGTGGTGGCGGTGGTGGGATGTTGTGACGGTGGTGGTGGTGGTGGTGAGTTGTTGTGGTGGTGGTGGTGATGGTGGCTGTGGTGGTGGTGGTGGTTGTGTGGTGGTTTGTTGGTGGTGGTGGTTGGCTGACGTGGTGGTCGTGGTGGTGGTGGTATTGGTGGTAGCGGTGGTGGTGGTGGTGGCGTGGTGGTTTGTGGTGGTGGTGGTGCTGCTGATAGCGCTGCTGGTGGTGGTTGTGGGTTGTGGGTGGGTGGTGGTGGTGGTGATAGTGGTGGTCGTTGTAGTGGTGGTGGTTTGTTGTGGTGGTGGTGGGTTGTGGTGATGGTGGTGGTGGTGGAGGTGGTGGTGATGGTGCTAATAGTGGTGTGGTGTTTTTTGGTGGTGGTGGTGGTGGTGGTGGTTGTGGTGTGTTGTGGTGGTGCTGGTGGTGGTGGCGTTTTTGGTGGTGGTTGTGTAGTGGCTTGTGGTGATGGTGGTGGTTGTGGTGGTGGGTTGTCGTGATTGTGGTGGTGGTGGTGGTTGTGGTGGTGGTGGTGTTGTGGTTTGTGGTGGTGGTGGTGGTGGTGGTGGCGGTGGTGGTGTGGCATTCGGCTCTCCCGCCACCGTGTTTTGGCTTTGGATCGGAGTTTCTTGAGGTCTCGTCAGAAGGGTCTCGGGGGCGTCTGAGGAGCATGTGTGAAGTCTCGTGGACCTTCCTGAGGGCCTCTCGGTGGCTTCTGGGGGGCGAGGGCTCGATATGGTGATTTGTGTGTGTGTGTGTGTGTTCCCCCTGCGGCCTCTGGGCCTTCTCTGGTAATCGTCGGTGCGTCCCCACCGTCGGCGCTTCTGGCCGCCGCCAGCGCCGGCGCCGGCGCCGGCGCGGGTCGGGGGGTGGGGGGTTTGGACCCCCCCCTCCCCTTTGGGCTCCCTCTGGTCGTCGTCGCTGCGTCTCCGCCGTCGGCGCTGCTGGCGGCCGCCAGCGCCGGCGCTGGCGCCAAGGGGGGGGAGGGGTTTGGACCTCACCCCCCCCCTTGGGAGGGGGGGGGGTTTGGGAGAGGGGGGGGGGGTTAGGGGGGAAGGGGGTCTGGCTCTGATCGACGGCGCCGAGTGTTGGGGGGGTCCACCCCCCAGTTCGAAACGCGCCGCCGAATGTTCCCAAGGCCAGCGCCGCCCGTGAAACGCACTCTCTCGGCGGTAGACATAATCTTGGACCATCTAGTAGACAACCTCGTCATCGCCGGCCTTGTGTAAAGTCTCCTGATGATCGCGATGGTGGCGGTCGAGGCCTGGGCTTGTCCGAGCCGACTATGGTGACCTCTCGTGTGCCAGCTTTGCCGCAAGGTGCCTTGTCATCGGCATGGTCATGATCTCAAATGCGTTTGGAGGCCACGACCGAAGAGATTGCAGCACGTTTTCAACAGTTGCGCCCTGGTTCGGCGAAGCGTCCCTCCAGTCCCGAAGTTTCCAGAGGTATCTTGGGACAGTCCATATTTCTGTACAACAACTGCTGGTGCCAGGTGTGTCGAGCAGTGCCTCTCCAGACATGTTGTTCCGCAGGAGTTTTTTCGAATGTACACGGATCAGCTCTGGTGTCTGAGCGGGGACATACTCGAGACTGTGTCGTCGCAGCTTCTTGCAGACGTCTGAGGCAAGTGTGGCTCGGGATGCTGCACGCGTCTTGGACCACCTGCTTAAGTTCAGGGGTGTTTCCTCTGCCACTGTCAGGATGTGCTTGTGAAGATCGGACAGTAGAGAAGGCTGCAACCACCTTTGCACACTGCATCCTGGATGAAGAGGTGTTGCAAAGCCACCCTGGCCATGTGAGTGGATTTGGTGTGTCTTGTTTCGCTCTTCTCCATGCGCATGTGGACCGTCGGTCTGGTTCACAGTGCAGGCTTGGCCCACACTGTCCATGTTGTTGTTCTTTTGGCTGGTATGGCGTCCTCTACGACTGGAAGTGTTGTTATCTTGCGACGGGTGGTGTTTTTTTCGATTGGAAGTACAACGTATATTAGGATGAATAGCGTATTCGCTTGATGTGAGCGGCGTTTCTCTTTGGAAGTATGGCGTATTTTCCGACTGGGAGCGTTGTTGCTCTCGGGGATGATCGCGTTCTCTCCAATTGGGAGTGTAGGTTTTCTTGGGAGGTATGTCGTCTGATTGGACTGGGAGTGCTGTTTCTCTTGGAATGTACGGTGCCTTCTCCAACAGGAGCGTAGTTTCTCTCAGGAGGTACGGCGTCTTCTCTGCCCGGGAGCGCGGTTTGTTTTGCAATGTATGGCGGCTTTTCCGACTTGTTGGGGCTGCAGTTTGTTGTCGGCGTCTGAGCCCATTCCTACCGTGAGTTGGGTCTCATGTTCCTTGGGAAGTTGACATCGTCTCCGCAGCTAGGAGGAGAGGCGCCTGACCATGGTGATCGACTGCTGACTCAGAGGTCGCATTTTAAGATAGTTGACGTTATTCTTGTATCATGTGTCTGTTGGCATCCTGCCCCCCTGCCTTATGTCGTCTCCCCTTCTCTTTTCTGCCTGTCAATTGTCGTCTCTGTGGCTTTACATGAAACCAAGTGCCAAATGCTCTGGGGATATAATTTCATCTTCATCCACCTCCCGTTCACCCTCTTCTCATCATCGACCCCGCCCTCTCGCCCCCCCCCTTTCCCCCTCTCATCCTGTCCCTTCGCCTTTCCCTCCTCCTCCCCCTTCCTCGTCTCCACTCATAGGCACAACACTGAGACCTTGGAAACGATCACTGCATCCCTTTTCCTTACAAACAGCTCTTCCCCGTCGCGCACCCGGGCGTGCCGGTAGGGCGGGCTGGGCATTTCGCTTGAGACTTCGTCGCCACTTATGATGATGAAGTTTGAGGTTTGCTCGCGACACCTTCACGGATGTAGGGCGGATCCTTTTCCGAATGTGACTCTCGCCTTAGCGCCGCGCGCAGTCGTGGTCAAAGTTTGCAACAGCTTTCAAAGTCGCGGATTGAAGGCGGGTGGTTTTCAAAGTGTGGTTCTCGCCTTAATGCCGTGCACATGTGCGTTCAAAGTCTGCAACAGTTTCATGGGCGGAGGGCGGGTGTTGTTCAAAATGTGGTCTCGCCTTCGTATCGCGCTCATTCGTTTTGAACGTTTGCTGCAGCTTCACGGACGGAGGGCGGGTGGTTTTCAAAATGTGGTTCTCGCCCAAGCCCGCGCACATTCGTCTTGAAAGTTTTTCAGCTTCAAGGATGGAGGGCGTTTCCTTTCCAACATGTGGCTATCGCTTTAGTGCCGCGCGAATTCGTTTCAAACATGTGTGACAGTTCCAAAGATTATGGTCGAAGTCCCAGGATTGATATTCTGGCACGAGTTTGGGTTACCACAACGCAACAGTCACGTTGATTCGCGGAGTTGGAATCCCAGGAATGGCGTTCCAGCACTTCGGATTGTCAGAACGCAGCAGTCATGTTGATCCGCTGCGTTGATCTCCCACGAATGGTTTTTTGGCACGATTGAGGATTATCAGACGGTTGTCTTCTCATGGGCCGCTTACCGCAATAAGAGGGAATTTGGAGGGAGGGTTTATTGCAACATCGTTGGTGCATCTTGGGTTTACACTGGACTTCTTCTGATTATCATCATTATCATGATTGCTCGCATTGTTATTATTAAAATTACTCTTATTGTTTTTATCCGCGCGATTAGTATTCGTATTATTATTCGTATGACCGTTATAGTATTGATATTATTATTCGCAGTATTACTATTTATATTATTATTATCATCATTATTATTAATAGTTTTAGTATTATGATTATGATTGGCAGTCTTATTCGTATTATTACTAATATGATTATGATTATGGTTATGGTTACTATGAGTGTTATTATTATTGTTATTACCATTATGATTATTATGATCATTACTATTATGTTTCTTCCTCCTACTCCTCCTCTTCCCCTTCCTGCCATTCATCCTCCTTCTCTTCTTCCTCATCCTCCTCCTCCTTCTCCTCCTCCTCCTCTTCCCCCTGCCCTCCTCCTCATCCTCCTGCTCCTCCTGGCCATCCTCGCCCTCTCCATCCTCCCCTTCGCCTCCTGTCCCTCGCCGCCTGCTCCTCGCGCTCCTGCCCCGCCATCCGCGAACGCTGCGCTGCGCGCAGCTGGCCGCAGGGCGCTCCGGGCGAGAGCAGTGGCACACGGCAGCTGTGCTCGCGCCGCGGCACGCCGGAGCGGCCGCGCGCGGCCACCGGTTTGGCTCAGGCCGGGCCTCCCCCAGCCGCTGCCCCCAGGGGGGCCAGCCCTTAGTCGAAGAAGCAAAACCGTCATAAACATAAACTTTTTTCTCGCTCCGCGCGGATTTCTTGGATCCGCGCTGGACCCCCCCGGCGGCGCCTTCAGCGCCGCCCTTGGCGCGCTCCGCGCGCCAGGGAAGGGGTTCCAGCGCGGGTCAAGAAATCCGCGCGGAGCGCCAAAAGTTTATGTTTATGGCGTTTCGTCTTCTTCTCTTTGGTGGCTCTTGGAAATTCGCCGCCCACCAAACCACCACAACCCAACGCGAAGGCCCCGATTTGCCCTTCATTTCCAGTGGGGGGGGGCTGGAGAACATGGGAAAACACACATGAAGCCCGTCCCCCCCAAACCCGAAATTGGGGTCTTCGGGTTGGGTTGGGGTGGTCTGGTAGGTAGTCAGAAACGACGGCAGGGCCGTTGATTCGCCTCTTCCAGGAAGTTTGATTTTGTGAGTGAAGCGGTAGCACAAACGGATTACCGAAGCGGAGGAAAACGGTTCCAGGATTGAGGCCGGAGCCAGAGCCAGAAAAGGGCGACAGAACCAGAAACGAAACGGCGCCAGGACCATGGAAAAAAACAGCGAAACGAAAACGGAACAGCAAAAACACGGCCTTGCCGCTTCCAAGAACCAGCCGGATGCGCCGCCTGGGTCGCAAGTTGCGTTGAGCAGCATGCCAGAGCGGGTCGATGCCACGAGCCTCGCCGCGCGCCTGGGCGCCCTGGAGGATTCCCAGAGGGAAATTTGCGGCATCCTGCGCGGTCTCGACGCGAAGCTGGACGCCGTGATCGCGACGTCGGCCGTGGCGCCAGCGCCGCAGCAGTCGCAAACGCAGCCGCGATCCTCGCACTTGCACAGGCGGGGGAGGGAGGGGGCGGGAGGATGCCAGAAGAGGGAGGAATGAAGGATGACGTCAAAGTAGGGAGAAATGGACGCTGGGGTTGAAGGGGGTTGGGGGGGGGGGCAGACGCGGGAGCAGAAGGAAGGAGCAGGGGGAAGTGAAGAGGGAAGAGTCGAACGGAGTGGGCGCCGTCACAAGGCGACATCCGAACGACGACTTGCCACTTCTAGCCCGAGATGCCTGGCGGGCACGAGTGAGAGCAGGGGGGAAAGGAGGAGGAGGAGGAGGAGCAGGAGGAGGAGGAGCGTGAGGAAGACCACGGGGGAGTCGCGACTGCGGTCGACCAGTCCTCCCGAGGGCCACGCGGGGCAAGCGAATAGTCGGCGAGGCCGTGGTGGTCGCGCGAAGCATCCAACGCCAACGAGTCCATGCTCTTCCATGTCGACCTCCTTCTTCAAATCTTCCTAATACTCATCCTTATCATACTTGTCCTCGTCCACCTGCTCTTCCGCCTTGTCCCCCCCTCCCTGCGTTGGTTGTTCGTCCTCGTCATCTTGCGCATCATCCCTATATTCTTCACATCATCCCCTTCGTCCTAATTCTCGTCGTCCATCCTTCCCCTCCCCAGCCCCCTCGTCCTCGTCGCGCCTTGACATTCCCCTTCCCCTCCGCACCCCCCTTCCCTGCGTGCTGCGCACTGCTGGCATCGGACAGCACCACGACCAGGGGCGCTGCCACGTCCCTCCCCCGGTGGCACTCCGCCACCCAATAGCAGGGTGTGGAATGGCAGGGTGCAGAATTACATCCCCGTTGCGAAAGTTTATTCATCTGGGCTCAAATTGACATGTCTGGGCGCTGTGGTGAGAAGTAGTATGGGAGT